ATTTTTTTCTCTGTGATCATCATTTAAATGATGTACTTTTTTACATTTAAATCCATCTAGAATTTATTTTAGAAAACGGTATACAGTAGGATCTGCCTGTTTTTTCCCCTAGTAGTTTTTCAATTGTGTCTATATTTTTAAAATAATACAAATTCTTTTCTAATTTGAAATACTACTTTTCCACTAGTGTCTTTTATGTTTTTGAGTCTATTTAGGGGCCATTATGTTCCACTGAGCTATCTGATCCTGTGTTACTTTTAATCAAAATTTAATTTTTATATAAAAAATTTCAATAACCAATTATACCAAATGAAAATATTAATTTTTAACTGGCTAATAGCATATTATCATCACTCCTTTGCACAAACGTTAAGATATGATGCTACTTAACTAATCTCAATTATCCTTGATAATGTTAAAAATATTACAGTACTTACACATAAATTCTACTTACCTCAGAAAGAGTGCTCATTTCAATGGCAGTTATCAAGTTATTGTTCATGAGTGCTTCTATTTCTATAAGCTTCTTATTCTGAAATAAAGAAAGAGCTCTTTTAATCAATTAAGATTCGGATTTATTATACCATACATTTATGAATACCACCAGTTGAGAAGACTTAAAAAGTAACTGAGATCACACTGAGCTAAAAAGGTGCTACACTATAGTTCACACAGACACACACACATTCTGAATAATTTTGAGTTATCAATCATAAACTTTCCTACATTTTTTATCTCCTCATAATAATAATACCTCATATGGCAAGTGAATGCAGTTCGTCAGCCACAGGGATTTAACGTTCGAGAAGTACAGTAGGTCGTTTTTCCGTTTTAATTTCTATTCATTTCGGAGTTAGATCTATAGTTGAAACCTAGCTCATCACTGGCTCTTACTGCCCTGTCTGTGGACAGAGTTGGAAGTTGGAAGGAAAAGCAACGACTACAGTCTTCCTTCTCTTTGGCTTGCAGCCAGTGGAATGCTCGTGTGAAGGCAGAATTCAAACACTCTGGGCACTCCCCTCTTTTCAATTCACTGGAGGAATTATGCCATCTTCTTAAAATGTATTAATGTATCAAGTTTTACTTATGATAAGCAATCAAATGTTGATCAAGTTATTATGAGTTTGCAGAGCCACAGGTATACATTGAGAATATAGATTTGGGTCATTTATTTTATTATCCACTAACAGTTTGTCCATTAACATGGCATGCTCTTTCAAAGTTTTTACACTGATTAGGAGACTTAAAAACACTTTTAGAGCTTCTATAATAATACTATAGTTAAAATTTTAGTGATAATTTAGAATTCAAACACAATATAGTTTCCATACCAAATTATTTAGCTTTAGGCGAAGAAATGTGTTCTCAAAATTCAGTTTCTCCACTTCTTTTTGCAATAACATCTTGTCAGTTGTAATTCTTCGAGAATTCTCTTTCTCTCTACTAAGAGCCTGAGCTAATGCCCTATTGTTGTGCTTTAAGGAAATTTTGAAAATAGAAGAATTGTCTGTAAAAAAAATTTTTAAGAGTTAATATTGAACACATATCTTACTACATTTTCATATTCCTTAATAATTAACTATTTTGGACAAAATGTATTTCACTTTGTAAGTTTTAACTGAAGGCTAGAAAAGAAGAGAATAGCAAGACAGACGGAGTTTTGAAAAGAATGTACCCAGAGTTTGGAGCTGAAGAAACAAAAGCTAGATAGAAGTTCAATAAGAGTTGTGAGAAATACAGAATGTTTGTGAATACAGTTAGGAACAAGAGTACTCTAATACAGATACAGTATCTAAATAATTAGATCAGACACAAAAACTAAATCTTGATATTTGTTGCCCTACCTTCCTTCCTACTTTTGACCAGGAGGTAGAATGGAGAAGTTGATCCCACAGCTCTAACTGGAAATGTCTCATGGAAATTAGGGTTGCCAATCATGAAAATTTTAGAGCCAGTTTCTGTGGCTCCAGAATTAATGCTCCCAAAGTCCATTTTTCAAAACCTTGGGTAAAAGGGAGCATACTTACTATAATGTTGGACAGATCATCTAAACTGTGTGGGATCGTCCATCTCCACCCCAAATATCCTATCTCTTATTCCTAGGCATCTATTGCAATCTAAACTTGACCGCTTCTCTTTATAGCACTATGTAAATATAATTTAAGTCAGAAATGATTTTCTGTTGTTTGCAAAGATTTTAATTGTGAACTCTTTGGTAAAGTTCACCTTACATATAGTGTTCCCTTAGTATATCTAAAGCATAATTATATTTTCATGATTTTGATTTACACGCTACTATTCAATAACATAGCCCACTGAATAAAAGTATAGTGTATGCAAAATGTTTGATAATAGTAATATACATTTTTATATAATAGTATTAGTGTTACTAGCTATAGTAATAGTAACAATAGTTTATAATAGTGATAATATTTTTTAAATACTCAGGGAACGTTTGGGTATCTAAAAAATAGAGTCCAAAAAGTACTTTATTTTTGGCACAGAGAAAGTAAATTCAGACAGCCACTTTTGACATAGCAAATGGAAACAGACTAGAACCGGTTTGCAACTTGCATAAGCTAAAGGACAGTAACATTTTCCTGTTGCACTCCTCAACCTCAGTGTATCCCTTCATAACAGTGGGTGTACAATGGTCCTGCACACCCACTAGCCACTATAGGAGGTGGTCTAATTCATGGCTCTAGAGACCTGAGTAGGAACAACATTATGATTTAAAGATAATCAGCAGGCTTGGCTATTTCCCAAGACACACCTTTCACAGGTGGTATACCAGTAGGAAACCTCCCCCAGTCCTGCTAAGATGGAGATGAACCATTGAGGTAGTTTTCAGAAGTAATGAAAATTTATCTTGGGGAATTTCCCCCACTTTCTTTTTTTGCCCCTCTGACATCTTAGCTCCAGAATCCATGAAACCTCATCTCCAAAGTGCTCAGTGACCTCATGATGAACTTTGGCTATCTAAAATCACCCTGGGCCAATCACCCCTAGATTGCTCATCATCCAAATGCTGTAGCATGTCAGAAGGACAATCTGTCACATTTTTTAGCTTTTTCAGAAATGTCATGTTGGTACTTTCTTTGCAGTGTAAGGAGGTAGCTGCCTTGGGCCACTCCAGCCTCACTGCTGAAAATTCAGCTGTCACCACTGACAGCAAATCATCATAACCACCCAACTAAGAGGAGTTGAAGGAGAAAGGAACAATTGAATGGAGGAAGTCTCATTTAACAAAATAATCATTTTAGTAATTTCCTATATTTGATAAAATAAAGTACCAAATACCATATCAATTCTCCAGGAAAAAAAGTAAAAATGAGAGTATGCTAATGATAAGTAATAAATAAGTAATGTAGTAATAAAGACTAATAACACTTACTTATTATTTTTGTTTTGATTTTTGACGCAAGAGAAACATTCAACTTAGCAGTCTTTGAAATTCTTTTGTCTTTCACGCGTCTTTTAATTCCTGAGGTAAGTGTGTCAGTTTCCATCACGGGGTACTCCATCACTGGAGTAAAAAAGAAAGACAGCAGGAAATCATAGTATTGATTAATAAAGCAAAAAAGGATAACTGATAAATACATTTTAAAAAGCAAATCATGACTTAAATAATATACTTTGTACATAAGTATTTGTAAAACACTTTATATAAAATCTGACAAGTATGAATGTAACCAAAAGTGGTTTAAAAGTAGAATCCTAAAAAGGTAAATGAATCTTTTTTTTTTTTTTCCATTCAAACCTGTAACATTATATCTACCTGCCAGGAGCGAGGCTAGGCACTGGGGACAGAAAACAGGATACAGCTGCATAGGAACGCATAGTCATGGAATGCATAGTCCAGTGTGGGCACAGACACTACTGTGATATCAAGTAGAAGTTTACCTTAGAGACAGGCACAGAAGAGATACACCTAATCCTAAGGGGGTTGTTCCCACTTCATCCTTGGATATACACTCCATTTCTCTGCACCCTTTACAGCAAAACTCCTTGAAAGAATTGTCTACACTCAGTTTTCAAACCTCTGGTAAACCTATTTCACTCAGGCTTTCACTTCATTCCAACAAAACTGGGGATATAGTCATCCCTTGGTACCTGAAGGATTTTGGTTTCAGGGCCCTCAGATACCAAAATCCACGATGCTTAAGTGCCTTATATAAAATGGCATAGTATTTACATATAACCTGTGTACATCCCTCTGTATAATTTAAATTATCTTTAGATTTATTTATACTACCTAATATAATGTACATAGTTGTATATATAATATATATGCTATTTAAATAGTTGTTGGCAATTGGCAAAAATCAAGTTTTGCTTTTTGAAACTTTCTGTAATTGTCCCCAATATTTTCCATCGCTGATTTGGTTGGTTGTACGGAATCGGAACCCAGACAGGAGGGCCAACTGTATTGCAATAGCTGTTGGACTGTGTTGGTGCCCAGTTCTGATATTTCATAGCTATGTGATCCTACATCTCCAAGTTTCAATTTCCAGACTTAGGGAATTATTTTTTGGAAAAAAAAGAGCATTTTGTAGGGACTTAATGAGCCAACGTACATACAGTGCCTAGTACTGAACCTAGAGCTCACCTATGTATTATTGCTCCGTAGCTCTTGTTTGGCTAGCATATCAGCTAACTCTACATCAGGAATACTCACTTCCATGTCCAGTTCTCCTGAACTGGATTCCTCATCTAGAAAAATCATCGTCCTTAGTCCCTATCGAAGTCCTGTCTGTAGGTCAACACCCAGTTCAAGGTTAAATTCTTCCCAGTCTTCTATCACCCTTCGCCCTCGGCCAGCCTCCCTCCTAAACTTTGAGCGCTCCACAAGAGAGGGCTCTTTCAAGAACTTGGGTAAGCAGTCTCTAACGTTCATTCAGCAGATATTTACTGAGCGCTCACAATAAACCTAAAGAAAAGGAGCAGCGCAGTCACAAAGAGCGACTGCAAGGAGCTGGTTTTCTGACTGGCGGCTCGCCGCCCTCACGCAGCCGAGCGCTCAAATCCCAGAGACAAAAGGCAGCGACTTACACCCAAACAAGGGCCTACCTCCAAGGAGGCCCTCGGAGCCAGTGCTGGGGCCGCAGTCCTGGAGACTGGAGGCCGAGGGGGCGGGGCCGCGGGCCGCGCGGGGCTCAGCGGACCCGAGACCCCGGAGGGCCACGCCGGGCGGTTCGTCTTGGGGAGGGCACGGATCCCGCCAGGCACGGCGAGGCCACGCCAAAAGTCACAGGTCACTGACTTACTGCTTTTTCAGCGTGAGGCGACCACCACCCAGCTCCCTGAGCCCGGCGCTCGCGGCCGCGGTTTGGGTTTAAACTCCGCAGCCGTTAGCGGTTTCCGCATCAGCCAATCAGGTGCCCAGCTGGCGGCGCAAAGGCGCTTGGTTACCAGGAAGTGGGAGGTGTAAGGGGCGGGACCCCGCCGTGAGCGACAAAAGGGGCGTGGCCAGGCATGCCAAGGGCGACACAGCATGGGAGAAAGGGGCGCCCCTCAGCTTTGAGCAAGTGGTGTTCAGCTGTCTCCTGATGCATTTATGAAAAAAGAAACCCTCCTTTGACAAAACTACCTTTATCAGTCAGATTTTTAAAGCTTTGACAGCCACCTGAGGTCTGTTGGAAAGTTTTTCTTGTTTCTCTGACATTACTGTGAGACTCCCCGCACACATTTTACCATTTCTTCTGCGTCTTTGCATTTCTTTATCTCTGCACAATGATACCAGCACCGTTATTTAGTTCTCACTTAAAAGCCCTCCCCATCTTTCTTTTAACTTTTCGAGAGGAAAACGGCAATGAAATTTTGTCGAAAATCCTGAATCTCATTAATATTTGTCTTATACTAATGGTTTGTTTTAGCTAAATATACAAGAATGGCATTTTCTGTTATCCACATCTACAGAAAAATATGTAGTATTCACTTTATGTTCCAAGTCAATTAGCTTAGTTTCCTTTCACAAC